AGAAAATTTGAGAAAATCGAAAAAACGATCACAGCCTGCAAATCTACAGCTCAGGGGCTTTCATTTAAAAAAAAGATCACGCAAATCGGTCCGGTGGTTCTCTCAAAGTTAATGCCCCAAGATTCGGAACTTTGCATTTTAATATATAGGATTAAACAGACTTTAGCTACTGTTAAATCTCTTTGTCTTCAATGCAGTCACCTTTCTTCACTAGTGCATGCCAAAGGGTGAAACGAGCTAAGACTTGAAAGGAAGAGGAAAATTCTAAAAACTACAGAACTATTTGGACTTCAAAATTTTTCAAGGAAAAATAAACTGAGAAAAAATTGTATCACAGCTGAATCTTCAAATTGGAAGGCAAGTTAATGGTCTCTAGAATCAGTCAATACATATTTAAACATTTCAAATTTTAAAGACAGGAGATTTAAGAAATGAAAAATTCAGAGAAAGAAATAGAGGTTCAAATGTCTTTTCACCGATGACTCGCAGCACAGAGATTAGAATTTTCAGACTATTGATAGTCATCTCATATAATTAGGCATTAAGAGTAAAAACTCATAGAGTGAGCTGTACAATTCTATTCCGAGTTTTGGGGAAAGAGTAGGAAATGACATTGATGAGTGGACAGAGAAAATACTAATAAGAATGAAGGCGTGTTACTTCTCGACCACTCAGAAGCTGCAAGATAAAGTCAATGGCTAAAGTGCAAAAACACGGGCCTCAGTTTATGACATCGCAGACTTCCTGTCATACATTATTTTTTCTTTGGGAAACTAGAGAATGTAATTTCTTGAAAATTTAATTGATTTTTCTTTTCGCTCCGCAGAATATTCTGCGAAAATTATCAGCTACAAAGTTGCAAGTTTCTCTTCATAAAAATAAAATGAGAGCAGAAATTTTGAAACAACGCGACAAAAAAAACGTGGTTTCGCACTTCGGTCATCTAACAAGTAGTCCCTGCATTGCTGAGTTACGATGTCAAGTGAGATTGCTGTCAGTGAACATACTATTTTAAACGGCAAAATGGGAGTACTGCAAACAATTCAGAGGAGATGAACCAGCATGGGAGGGGGGGGACTACTAAAATTTACAATCAATTCAGCTTTCATAGATGGCTGACCAAAACAATAATTAGTACAAATAGAGCGGAGATAAAAATTTTGCAGGGTTAAAACTACTTTCATTTGTAGATTAGGAGCATATCAACGTTAAAACTACAGAGATACATGTCTCGGTTTGCAGGGTTACAGACTTCCTACTGTACGGTCGTATCTCGCTATAGTTTTTCTCAAAAAACTTTTTTGGAAACAACGTTAATTTTTTCAGGTCCTGACCAGTCGTTTTTTGATAAAGCGTTTTTCGGAAAAACGTTCTACTGGAAAAAACGTTCCAGTTCTACATCACCTCCGAAAACGTTATAATGATATATATATGTCTGTCCTATATTTTCTGAATAGAAAACTACTGAACGTCATTTCTTGAGGACCTCAGTAACTTTTCTTCTCAATGTGAGGAGTATTTGAAGAAATCCTTTGAAGAAATAAAATAAGAGCTGAGATTTTGAAACATCGCAATCAATACTGCATTCTTGCAGTTTCACAGTCAATTTACCTAATACGTACGAAAAAGTAATTGGAAACAATAACATCAGAAAGGAAAGATTGTTCATGTAAATAACAGAGATAAGTTTCATTTGTATGACATTAAAAGTCCTTTTTGCCTGTTCTTTTCCTTAAAATAAGAATTAGAAAAAAAGAGGACCCTTAAACTGTTTGAGAGAGTTTCAACCTATGACAGAAAAATCTCTCATGCATACCTTATGATATTTCAAGAAAATAACGTTAAATCATTTGAGGTAAGACTTATGGAAGCATATTTGGGTTAACACATTTGTGATGAAGGGAATTCAATTCTCATTGGAGAAATAATTTACTCTATCGTTGCAATGTATTTCAGGCAAAGGTGTATGATTTTGGTTATTCACTGCCCAATTTAAAATTTTTCAACACTAGGTAGATTGGATCGCATTTAGCAGAAAGGAACCACTGTGTTTAAAGTTTTGTAAAAGCATTTTCATCTTTATAAGAACAATTTTCTGGATCTGCAATTAACTCTTGCTTCTTCACAAAAAAAATTTAAAATTTCAAGGGAAAGCAATTGTGTAAATCTTACTACTGTACAAGTATTTCATATTTTTTAAAGCAAAGACGAAGTTGCACGATTTTTAAAACGATGTAATCGAGATGGTTTCCTTCTGGGGCATGCAATTCAAACAGTTTTGTATTTTTAAGTCTGCCAAAGTCAGTACTAAAACTTTTCCTGTGAGGTATGAGGAAAAACTTAAAAAAAAACTTGATTTCAGGAGTATGCTGTGCCCCCTTATTATAGTATTGTGATTTTCAACTGTAGTACAGTTTTAAAGAATACTGATAAAAAGAACAAAAATGTTCAGAGAAATCTCGAATGAACAATTTAAATTAATTGACATTATTAAAGAGGTACAAATATTGAATAATCAGACTACCTACCTAAAAGACACTATAATATGTATGTAGCACATTAGTATGGCAGGTACAGTGCACTCAGGTATGCCAGTAAGAATACAAATTTACAAGAGCCAGAACTTAAATTAACAATTGTCAACTTTGGAAGTTAGGCAATTTTGGAATACGGAGATAAAGTACGAGAACAACATTGAATAAAAATTAAAATTTGTTAGACAAACATAAAAACAGAGTGAATTTGGAATTTGTTCCAAAATGATTGATTACGTGCAAATCACTATAGTACCTTTAAGGTTATTATCCCGTTACGAGACTGCTTATCTAAATTCCATCTGGTAGAATGTCTGGAATCAAATACTTGCACAGCTCTTCATCACTATAAACGAACGTTACTTTACTGGTTGTGTTTTCGTCCAGCCTAAAAAGATATGATAAAAAAAAAAAAAACAAAGTTAGTGAAAGGTGCATGATCTAAAGCAGAATACATAATCAATATGAATTGAACTGAAAACAGAGGAAAGTTTTTTTAAGCTTATCTAAATTTAATTGAAAAAGTGAATTTTTTTACTTGAATTTTATTGTTTAGATATGCAGTGTAGGGTCTCAATGAAATATTGTTTCTAGTGGGACTCACTGTTCAGGGGTTTCTCGATCCACCATCTGACTGACGCTTACCCAAAACATGTATACTTTGCAAGACATACATGGTCAAATATTCTTACTTACTTTGAAATCCTGATTCTTTTGCTAATTTTAGACAAAATAATTATTTGCTCATCTGGGAGAGAAGTTTCTGTAAAAATTGGCATGATACAAACGTAAAAAAATTAGATCTAGTCCTTAAACAAGCTTTTATCTCGGGATTTTCAGCATGTAGTAAAATACAGAATTTTAAAACATTGACGGTTAAAAGATATGAGGAGCGTTCGGAGAGCAAAATACAAGAGCAAATCCGTAAATTTGATGAGTTCTTACATTCAATACACTTAAATTCCAAAGCTTTTCAACAATAACATGCAAGACTTCATAGACCATCATTTGAATAACTGCCCAGTCATTTGATAAAATGCCTGATTTGACTATTCGTCTGCGACATATGTACATAGAGTAAGTATGGTTCTTTTAATGAGCAGGAGGTCTGAATTTGGGCATCAAAAAACGCTAATTTCTTGATAAGAAGTAAATCTATACATTTTTGTTGCACAAATCATGTTCTACATGAAATTTTGATGAAAAAACATATCAGTGCCCCTGCGCCAAAAGGTACCCAACTCCATTTCAGTCTTCTTGAGATATCAAGGAAAAACCGGCCCCATTGATTCCAATGTAAATCGCAATTTTTGAAACTCCATACCTCATAACTGGCGTAAGATAGAACTACCATATTTTCCACGGACACAGAACCGTTACTGGAGATTTCGTAAACGCCACTGACTCCATTTTTCCAAAAATGTGAGTTAAGTACCTTTCGGCTCTGGGGTACTAACATGTCATAAAGCTTAAACTTGCAGCTTCTCTATTAGTCCATTAGATTGAGTGTACGAAGTCAGCTTGCATGTCTGATAAATTTGTTCAAAAATTTTCTGGAGGAGTTTTGTCTTCTTCCAAAATTACTACCTAGTATGTCAAGTTTATTTCCTCAATTTCTCATAAAAATTTAAGCAAATACAAGAGGATGTTGGAGGGAAAATCAAGTATTGTCAAGCATCCACACCTGAGAGGATTGACAAAAAAAGTAAGAATAAATAAAAAATTAGGAGAGAATTCCTTACCAGCCTTTGATAACTGCCCAACAACCAGTGAACAACATGGGTGCATTGATGACAAGGCAAACCCCCAAACGCTCGGGGTAATGTCGACTCAGCAACCAAATCAAATTTTTCACAACTTGATAATCCATGCAACTTAAACCGAAGTCCTTGAGGTCAAATACAATGCACAAGTTATCAACGATTTCTTCAAAACATTTCTTGCAAGCTTCCTCCTGGAAATACAGAAAGCATTGGGTAAAAAAGTGAAGAGCACCGATAAAACGATTCACACAAGAGGAATTGGCTGCTAATCCTTTCATCCGCAAGTGTTTATTTACTTTCGAACTGCTATTGTAACAAGAGGTTGTGTACCTCGACTGTGCTTACAATAATGTTCTAATATCATTGCTGTTAGAAGGGAATAAAAGTGTTATTTTTTTTTAAATAAAACAATTTATTTATGATTTGAACCGCATAACAGTCATGTTGCATTGGAATCAAGGGGGTTGAAATGATGGGTCATCGCCCAATATGACCTCATAAGCCTCAGGCCGATAAGAAACAATCTTTCATAACAAAACTGAACGCTTTTTTTCTTACGATCAAAATAGCAGTTTAGAGCTATTTTAAGGCCTGAAAACGTGTTTCTCGTTAAATACTACTGTAGAATAACTCATCATCATGGCAATGCTTACATCTAGCAACAGTCCTTTTGAAAGGCATGCAGGGTGATCATTTAGCTCAAAGGAGACAACGTTTGGAAAACCCCCAAAATTTAGAGGGACCATCCTGAAAAGGGGCAAGACCCTCAGGGATCATAGGAGTAGTGCGGGACTTTTGCATTATCCCATCTAACTTTATTTTCAATTTTTTTAACACTTACTGAAAAACTTGCAATATAAAGTTCCAGCACGAGCTGATTCAATTACTTGAAAAGCTCTTTGCTTTAATCAGAAAACACACAAAAAAAACATGGGCTAAACTAATAATATTGAATGGATAGGCGGATAACTTACCAAACAATAAACAATATACTGAGTTAACTCATCGATATCTCTGTCATTGGCACTATGATTCTTAGCAGGAATGTATATAACAGGGCGACCCTGCATGTCTCTGTGCTTCAGAACCTTGACTTTATTCTTTGTCAAATAATCTTTGATCACCGGATGCTCCTCCGTAAGTTCTGTAACTTTGTACTCTGCCCTCCACTTGTTCGTCTTCAAAATTTGCTGAAGGGAAAAGAGAATCATTTTATTGCAGGTTATCAATGCAAGATATATACATAAAGAAAGAAAAAGAAAGAAAGAAAGAAAAAAAAAATGCTCTTTTTTAGATCAACCCTCATCATAGGATCTTACTGATTCAATGACTCGCAGGTGAGTCAAAGAATGTCAAGTTTGCAGGGCATTTATGAAGTTCTGTTTTTGCCTTTGAGGCAAAATAAGACGAACTACAAGGGCTGAACATTCCAAGATTTTTCGAAGGTTCCCACAGGGAAATTTTTGGCTTCAAGATGAAATCAATAATAATATAAAAAATATCAATAAAACCATACATTTAACATTTCTATCATCGTTGCAGGGTAGGTATTGACAAAGTCCTCCTCTTACCGCATGTAATTCTTTGCTTACGTGCATATTTTATTTTATCTTGATTCATAAAAGTTTTTCATATAATTCTCATTTACATGCACATTCATTTTCATTTTCAATGGGCGGAGCTGATTGGCAAAGAAGACATGTTCTTTGAATGATGTGATATGAAACAAAAAAACTTGAAACAAGCAGGATTCCAGGTTTAATTTTATTTTGTACTAAATTATTCCATGAAGTTTCCCAATTTACAAAATAAATGTTGGTGATGGACCACATGAGCATGACTAGAAAATGGGGGGAGGGGGAGCCTTCCTCCCAGACCCACAAGTTACACCAATGATGGACAACATTGTTGGGACCGCATTCAATTCTGCGAGAAAATCTGAGCGAAAATTTCATAGATATTACTAATTGGAAGAAATAGCATGAACACTTAGTCACCGAGGCATTTCAGGAACTCTTTTTGAATCTTTCACATGTGACAGTGAACATTTGTGTGTAAGAATCAACAAGAGCCGAAGGGGACGCCCAGTGAAAGGGTGGCGACAGGGGGTTTTAGAAGGAATGAGGGCATGCACACTTCCTAAATGGCTTCGGGAGGATAGCGGACTTTGGCGGCTGGGTGTTGCAGAAAGCTATAAAAGCAGCTTACATATAACAACAGGTGTTTGGAGAAAAATATACCTGGAAGGCTGCATCAACAGTTTTAAATGCACGCAAGTATCGTCTCAGGGAAAAATCATTGTGATATTGACTTGGGTCTGCTTCAGAAATCACTTTCATCCGATCCTTCAGACTCTGTAAATCCTCTTCATTCACAGGTTTTGCACTGATATCCGCCATGACTTGTCTGATATAAAATAAAGAAAAATTAGAATAGGATTTAAGCATGAATACAAATACATAAAACAGAAAAACATGGGACTGCAGACAAAGGTGGGGAGAGAAATAAATTATCCTATGAGAGCTGGGACAATAACTGGCATAGTGATATCAACCAGGAGGCGGTGAATTACAGTTCTCAAACGATGAATTTTACTGCCAAATTGCATAGTGTAGGTCTCATTTTCATTTCAACTAAACCAAAACTTTGGAGATGTGTTCATTCCTACACGGTGTGTAATCTAACATGCGGATGGAGGCAAGAGGGGCCATGGACCTCCGCCTACAATATGTTTGCACTTTCAAGAGACTTGAAAAATTTGGAGTAAAAGAAGTATTAGTTGACAGTCAATGTCTTTAAAAGGAAAATCATGCTGATGAGGTGAGTAATATGTACTATTATTGACAGGTGTACTCAAAATCCTAACCTACAAATGCTGAAAATGTCTAGGGGTAAGTAAACAAAATGTAATAACTGCATGACCTAAAGTGTGCAAGATACATAAGAGAAAATTAGAATGGAGAAACAGCAGAATGATGACATACTTGGGATAGTATCAATTGCTCAGAAGAACAGAATCATCCACGATGGCAAATTAACGTGCAGGAACAGGATACTATCACTTGGAACTTATCACTTATCACAGTGTTTACATGTTACATGTTTATCAATCTAATCTCCAGATGGCATTGATCATATTCAAACAGCGTTGCCAAAGCGACAATTAAGTAGATCCGGAGATCCCGCATGTTCGGCATGTTTGACCGCGCGCCGTCGAGTTTTGAGTCACATTCAAGAGACTTCTACCTTTTCTTGAATAATGATTTTGAATTGAATCGAGTTGATTAGTAAAAAATTTTGCACCAAAAAGTGCAAAAATATCACCTCTACACTGAGGTATACTTTCAGGGCCGGATTAAGGGGGTGGCCACATGGGCCGCGGCCCATGGCGGCAAATCTATAGGGGGCGGCAAATTTTGCAATTTTTTAAGTGTAGGTATAAACAAAATTCGGAATTAAAAAAAAAAATTACAAACGAGGAAAGGCGACAAAATCTCTAATTTTCTGAGAGTATAGTAATTTTTTTTTGTCGACTTTCGGTGATACAAGAGACAGCACCTTTAATTAGTCGAGTTAAGAGAGAAACCAAACACGCAATTTGGCCTCGAACGGCGCGACTTACCGAGAGAAAAATGCTGACGAGGACTTGAGATGAAAGGAGAAGCCCTCGGCGCGTCGATCGGCATGTAACACATATTAGCGCCTACAAGACTGCACGAATACTTCAAGCATTGCATCAAACACAGTGCGGTCATTGCGGACAGCGTGAAACGGACAGCGCCTACAAGAATGCATGAATACCTCACGCATTGCAGCAAACACAGTGCGATCAGCGTGAGACGCATAGCGCCTACAAGACTGCGTGAATACTTCACGCATTGCGTCGAACACAGTGCGGTCTGCGAGGCGCGGCGGCGGAAGTTAAAATCATTAATCCACATTTACGTTTGTTCTTTCATAATTTTTTCGTTCATTTCTTATGAATGGAATGCCTTGTTCACACAGAGATAGGTTTACGAAACTTAACTTTCGCGCAAAGTTCCGTGAACTTTTCCTAGTAGTGTTGACAGGGCTTTCCCAAAAAATGTGTTCAACACCAGTAAACGCGTCATATGCACCCCTCCCCCGCTGGCACGCTCATATGTTGGTCTTCATAGATGTTTCAAAACGAATGAAAAGGGGGCGGCAAAATACTAGCGGCCCATGGGCGGCAAGTAGGTTAATCCGGCCCTGTATACTTTTTTCTGTTCACCTTCGGTGAATCTAAGTTCAACTTTATAAGATGAAAATAGAACCAGGAAGAGTAAAAATAAAGTCCGCAAGAAAATTGATGAAGAAGTCTTAAAAATCTGCATAGAATAAAGTGTTCTGGACATAATTTACCTCCCCCCCCTCCCCCCGGGACAATTCGAGGCTCCATAGAAGCCAGGTCGGGCACCCCAGGGGTGGGACAACCCCGGGGGTTGCGCTCCTGGGTTGTCAGGTGGGGCAGATTTTTTATTCCGACCCTCAAGAGTCACGGTACATGGGCATAGGTCATGGTACCCCCTGTTGATTTTCCTAGATTTTGGACGGGTGAAGCTTTTTCGAGATCCGTGTCAAATCCTGTAAAAAAAGTGTGCGAGAACTTATACTTAAAATGCTGAATTATCCGCTACAGCAGTTATTTAAGCAATGCCAAGATGTAAAACTTACTGCAATGGCCGGTAATTCAGCATCTTATAAGTTCTCGCGCACTTTTTTTACAACTAGAATATTAAATCAACTTCACTTTTTTTTTCGGTGTGAGTAGTTAGGGGCGTAGAATTAATTGCATGTGCTCGTGAGACACGCCAAAGCTTTCTGAGCCGTGAAACGAGTTATATTGCCAGTTTTTAACCATTTCGTACATATTTGCAGCTGATTTAGAGCTCTAATGAACTTGTGGAGCATTTTAGACCTGAAAATCGGACTTAGCGGGTCCTTTTCTTATGGGCTAGCTTTGCCTCAGCCTGATCTGATAACTTCCATGTTTGACCCCGAAATAGTCCAAGATTGTTCCAGACAAAATTAGGATAAAACAAAAATAACAATAATTGCACAGATATGATTCGAAACTCAAAAATTTAATCATGGATCAAACTTAAAAAATAATTCCACAAGTAGGTACACAACAGACTGTCATGTAACAAAAGTAATTGAATTTGAACAATCAGTCTGGCACAAAAAATAAACTTGCAAGAGGAAAAAGTTCAACAACACTAGAAGCTAGGACTAAAGACGATCAGATTTTGATGATTGGAAAATTATTTCCCTGATACCATCTTCTATCATCCATCCTTTCATAAATAATTTTCATTAGTTTTCATGGTAATTTTCATCTGTGCAAAACAATAATTGCTGTTGAGCAATGAAAATTTTTTCACGATTGAATACATAGGAGACAGGATTTTCGCTGTACAAAGGTTGCTGGCATAAAGATTCTGATGTTTCCTTGATTTTCTCTGGGCTTGATAAAGCTTTCCCGATTTCTTCACTTGCACTTAATTGAAATTTGCCTAATTCTTAACGGAAAAAAAAAAAAAAAAAAAAAAAAAAAAAAAAAAAAACAGAGGGAAAAAAAGTCAGATGAAACCTTTTCTCAAAGTCAGCATTTTGATATTTGAAGTGTCTTGAAAGTGTCAACGAAAATGGTGCAACAGTACAACTACTTATTGAGGACAATTACGATTTAATTTGCAATTTTCAATCAATCACATTTAAATGTTTTTGCAACAGAATTTTGCTTGATGTAATCTTCCATTTAATGCCAGCTTATATTAGTATTTCGATTAAAATTTTCAAGCCATCAAAATCGGACCGCTATCACTTTTACTTATAATCTTCAATCACAAAAATAATGTTGAACGTTTAAAGTAAGTATAGATATAATATTAAAGTAAGAGGTAACATGAAAAAAGGCACGGATACTTATGCCTTCACATAAGTTACAACTAGGTCACCTTTCAAAATAGGCTGAACATTTTTAGGATTCTCATCGTTATTGGGAAACATAATAAATTCCATTCAAGGTGGGATGCTTTCCAGTGAGGTATCACTTCCATGAGATGGAGATTTTTAGAAATTCAGCTGTTTGGGGGGGGGGGGGATACGGATAATCTGCAGAAATGTTATGCCCTTGACCCATTATAATTTAACTACGACTACACAGTAACTTATTTTCTAAGATAGATTAACGCTTTACATTAAATGACAACAGGCTATCCCAAGCCTGCTTCCAGAAGATTATCATTACCTTAGAAACGAAATATGGTTTCAAGTTCTGGCAAGTTCTGAATTGCAATAACAACGCTTTCTACAGTGAGCCACAGTAAGCGCAGACTACTCAAGAAAAGAATGGTCAGTTCAGGATGAAATTTCACGTGATAACGCTCAGTGAAGATATGAAGATTTTCTTTCCATTTGCTTCCTAAGTTCACAGGATGACAAACATAACATAATTTTATCACTGCTTTGAAAGATCTTCGAAATTGCAAATATGTGGTCTCATCCTTAGGCAATGATATCCAATGAAATGATGATCTTCAAAAAGCTATTCAAACTAAAGGAAGAGAGACATTCATGAATTTTATTCTTGGGTCTGAATATGATTTATTCTGAACATGATTCTCAGGTCAAAACTACAAAAATGTCTCTTATTACTGTATCACTCCATCTGGAGGTGATCTACAAAATAACCTTACTGCTGCTTGTAATGGTACAAGTAACATTTCCTTTAATTCAAGGCAAAGGGAAAAGAGATTCTGATTAAGGTAGTGTAAAAAAATAGATTCAGTGATTGGAAACAGCACATGATTGACTAAAGCAACAAAGGAGTTGTTTCTTTTTCGAATTTAATGGAAAACAGAAAATACTCGATAAATTATTTAGAATAAATCTGACAAAAAAATTGAGTGTTAATGTAAATATCAGAATCAGTTGACTGAAATATCTCTTGGCAAAAAAAAAGAAAAGAAAAAGAAACCAAAATTAGTGTGCAACAAAGGACTACGTGCAAAACGGGTCATTTGGGGCTCGGGGCGGATACCTTTGAGACTTGCCCTATTCATTCACCTAACAATGCCCCATCTTTTCCCAAAGTTTCAAGCCCCCCAAAAATTTTGGGGAGACGCGGCGGGGGGTCAAAGTTCAAAACCGGCAAAATTTTCGCGAATTTATTACTCGAAAACCAAGAAGTTTTCGTAAACGCGGTTTAAACGAGCGTATTCAGCGTGACGAGAGCTTTCAGAGAATGTATAACATCATAGGGTTTTGTCAACTTCAGCTCGAGTTATCGCCTCCGAAGCGCCGGAACGCTCAAAAGAGACCCCTTATTTTTTCACGTTTGGGCCGATTTAAAAAAAAGCCATTTTTTTAATTTCATGAAAAACTGATATGTTGTTCCTGACTCTCTGTAGCCCCTCTAGCTCTTTACCGCATGCTGGGGAAATGTTTTGGTCGCGAGTTATAAGAGCGGAAAGGAGCGAAGGTCGGGAAAATCGGCCATTTTAAACTGCGCGCGGCGACGGATCAGGAGCCATGTGGCAACTATGCGAGGTCGGCAGAGGAGTGTGATTCACCGAAATGAGTGGGAGGGGACGTTTTCCCTCCGATCAACGCCGCGCGCGCAGTTTAAAATAGCCGATTTTCCCGACCTTCGCTCCTTTCCGCTCTTATAACTCGCGACCAAAACATTTCCCCAGCATGCGGTAAAGAGCTAGAGGGGCTACAGAGAGTCAGGAACAACATATCAGTTTTTCATGAAATTAAAAAAATGGCTTTTTTTTAAATCGGCCCAAACGTGAAAAAATAAGGGGTCTCTTTTGAGCGTTCCGGCGCTTCGGAGGCGATAACTCGAGCTGAAGTTGACAAAACCCTATGATGTTATACATTTTCTGAAAGCTCTCGTCACGCTGAATACGCTCGTTTAAACCGCGTTTACGAAAACTTCTTGGTTTTCGAGTAATAAATTCGCGAAAATTTTGCCGGTTTTGAACTTTGACCCCCCGCCGCGTCTCCCCAAAATTTTTGGGGGGCTTGAAACTTTGGGAAAAGATGGGGCATTGTTAGGTGAATGAATAGGGCAAGTCTCAAAGGTATCCGCCCCGAGCCCCAAATGGCCCGTTTTGCACGTAGTCCTTTGCTGTTGAAAATGAATGTATAAATTCAGCAAATGGCTATTTCGACAAGATCTTTTTCTTCCTCCAGTAAGTGGTAGTCGTAGACTCGTCAAGAAACAAAACAACATTGATAATAAAGTATGCAAGAGATCATGGTGCACAATATGACTCTTTTAAACTTGGGTTCTTAACTTATGAATGGAAGTTGAAATTGAATAACGCAGAAAATGTGGCTCGTAAGTTGGATTTGGAAATTTTCAAGATGATTACTATTTCCTACTTCAAATTTTTATGAGGTGGCTTCTGTCTGGATCTATTGTTTTTCATTGTTAAGGTCTGAAGTAATAACTTTTCATCAAGAAAGGCACAAAAGTTCAAACATCGAACTGATAAAGTTGATTACAGCATTTCGATCAAATTTCCACTCCAAGTTTTAGAAATCAAATTTCAAGGAACGTTTTGATCAATTTTGAAGAAAATTTCTTTCATAAGATGTTTCAACTGTTAAAAGTTGATCAAAATTCAGACGTCACCTAAACATTGTGGCATTTACAGTTTATGTTCTGAAAAGACTTACGGACAGTAAAAAATTGCAGAGAACTGATTCGTGACATTGACATCAACAGATTTTGAGCACAACCATTTTTTAATATGGAGTCCAAAAACCTCATTAATTACATTAGTACCCCATAGAATATAAAACTAGAAAACTTATGGTCAGATGACTTTTTTGAATAATGACTATTCTAATGACAGAAAAAAATTTACACTCATTAAAAATTAGATCTGAAGCGTTTGTCTTTTATAAGAAGTTTTTACTCTACAGTCGATCGGAGTAAAAACAAACAATGCTTATAGTTAGATAGATACTTTAATTCCAGAGAATGAATATTGCTGCTACTAAATAATAATTTTTTAAGAAATTTGGAGGCATCTTTTATAGCCAAGCCCCAAACTTGAAACATCCAGCAAACTTGATGAAATTCTTAAAATAAGAACAGAACTACCAGGTGCAATAAAATGCAATTTTCCTGGATGTATTCATGGGTTTCAGTTAATAGAGCTATTTTAAAGGGCAAATTCTTGTTTTTTGGAACCGAAAAATGCGAGTACAATGTATAATGGAAATAAAAAAAATTCAGATCTACTGTTAGGGTTTGCAGCGAAGAAGGTTGCAAAAAAGCGATTCTGGCACACTGAATTTATAACATAATTCAACTTTAACATAAAGAACTCTTGTATTTTGAGGTAAAATAGCAAGATACAGGTCCAGAGACCTAGAATTTGGTTGACGTGTAGATGCATTACCCTCTAACTTTGATATTTCAATCAAATTCTTAAAAGTATAGAATTTGTAAAGAGTGCAAATTCTGTTTCACCTGCATCTTGAATTCTAGGTGTCACATTAAATCTTTGTTTAAGAACTTCACCACAGAATGAAAAAAACAATTACACTTTTTCTTAAACAGGCGGATCAAAGGGCTGACTTGCAACTCAATTGAAGGATAACTTCAAAAGTTTATCTTTCTCAATTAAAAGTAATTTGTTTTGAATAAAGGTTTAAAATTTTTATTTCTTGCAATTTAGGTTTTTACTTGTGTTCATATCTGTGATGGCACACTAGATTGCCACCAAATACTTCTCTTAAAGCTAGGTTTTTATGACTAAGACAAAAGTTCCGCATTTTTTGATCGAAAAGCTCATAATCTCACACATTCAGTTGAAATCTAGATAAAAAATATCTTTCAGTTCTTCATGCGCAATAGGAAAAAAAGCCATTCAAGGTGCAAATTTTGAATTTACATGATTAAAAACTTTGATACAGACAAAAAAGTCTTTAAGTAGGAGTTTACTAGAAAAAATGACTTACTTTAAGTATGCTGAAAACAAAGCTGTTTAGAGAGCTCTTCTGTGGTTGAAAGATAGCTTTGATTACCGGAAGTATATTTTTTGTTCTTTATTAAAAGAGATAGAAAGTTTCATTAAAAAAGAAAAGAAAAATATTTTGACCCCAACAGTACTCAAGGAGTTCAATTTACGTTGTTTTTTTTTTTTAGAGAAAAGATGGGTATGTATGAACACAAACTTACAACTTAACCTGAACTTTATGAAGAACTTGTTTGCTTAACAAAAAATAAAGTACCGTAATGGTAGCTTATTAATATAAAGAACAAAATTTTAACAAATTACCAACTAAACCAAAGAAAGAAAATACATAGAATTCTAACTGAAATCAGTTAAAAAAAGAGAGGAAAGAAGCACATTTTGATACAAAGCAGTATTATAATTTTGAGCATGATAATCAGAGAAGTTCTTTCGATATATTGGTGGATTAAAGTTGCCACTAATATCAACTCTGGAGAATGCCGACAAGGTCTCCAGAGGATAATTTACTTTAGTAAATTTTAAAGATGAATAGAAAACAGCATTATACACATAAAAAAATTCCAACATAGAAAATTAAAAAAATGCGTATCTTGGTTGCGGAGTTTTAAAATCTCTGCTCCTATTTTACTTTTTAAAAGGAAACTGAGCCAACATCATGATTTGAAGTCTTCACAGAATATTTTTCAGATAAACGAGAAAAATCATGGAATTTTTAAGAAATGAAGTTTAGGAGCTATCCCTGTAGAAAATGAAGCATGAAGAGAACAGGGTTGCCACAGAGTTTACAAGATGGATTTTCCTGAAGATTCTCTGATTTCCTTGCAAATTTCCGTAAAATTCATTGAGATTTGAGGGTATACCAGATGGTTAAGGAGACCTAATGTGAAATTGTTTTCACACAAAATTTGTTATTTAAAACATCAAACTCATTCTAGAAAGCAAATAAAGGTGAGTTAACGATTCTTCCATGACAATGTTTTCATATTCCCTGAATGTGGCAACTCTGGCATTGCTGGAAACCAAGATACGCATTTCCACAGTTTCACCATAGATTAAAGCTATATAGTAAAAATTATAAACCAAAATTGTTGCTCTTAGTTTTCAAGAGTTCACTGAAGTCTCTGGTTTAATGCTAATAGAAAAAAAAAAAAAGAATCCTGATTTTTGGGCGTAAGAGAACCTTAACATGAGCTAATTTACATGAGCTTCCTCTTTACACGGGAATACTAAAACTGAGGTTGAAAAAAAAGAATATTAATCACAGCATTCGCAAAGGTATGAAACGTCCATTGAGAATCTGAAAGTCTTTCTCCCAATAATATACGGGGAGAAAGATGGTTCAGTCTTATTCCATTTGGCTATTTGGCTGACTTGGATTTTCTGCGTTGTTTCACATCACCAGAGTTTTGAGAGGATGAGTTCACCATTCCTGAAAAAAAGACGAATAAATATATTAGAGAATTAAAAGTTTATTGTCTTGAATTTCAACGAGGATAAGAAATGATTTGCTGTTCAAAATGAAAAAAGGATTTAAATTCAGGTTTTTTTAAACAGGTCTCTCTTACTGTGGACAGTCACATATCGTCGTTTCCTGCACAAAGAAAAGTAACTCCATTTCAAGGTTGCAAAATTGATTCAAACCATTCGATATTTTACAGGAATAGATCCGAGCAATTTTTGTCTGAAATTGTCTGCTTTTTGCATGAAATCAGAGGAAAAATCAGTGAAATTTTTAGGTAGAAATTCCTAGGATTCTCCTTGTCAAATGCAATTTGTGAGGGAAAATTTGGCAACACTGAGACAAAGTTGCATTTAAGCTTAAGGGAAACGACAATTTAACTGGGTGAAATAAATAGGATGCTTCAAGAGAGGCCTGTCTTGAGGTGATTTGTCCCAGATTCTTGGCGCCATCGAACTGGAGTTTGATATGTTGCATCGATTATGTAAAAAATCTTCACAGATTTTGGCTTCTTAGCCAAAAAAAGGATGATAGCCTCTGCGGGTAATCTCAAAAAGTCATTCATGACCAAAAAATTGCATAATTTAGAAAAATGAATGCAGGATTCTACATGGAAAAAAACCTTGCATTCAATTCAGTTATCAGCCTCGCTAATGAATGCAACATCTTTTTCCGAGAAGAATCTTGCTTTGATTTCTCTGAATTTTGCAAATTTTTTGGTTGACAATGATTCATTAGGCTTATGCGCGGGGGCTATTGCTCTTTATTTGACTAAAAATTCAAAATCTGCAGACTAATATTAATATCTGGCTAATCAATGTGATACGTCTCATGCTAGTTTGACCATCCTAATGAGAACAAATCACATTCAATTCTTAGGGTGGATTTTTTGCTAACATACATCTCAATAATCAGTTACCTCTGAGACAAATACAAAACAGACACTTTTTCTTTTTGTAAGTCCAAGAAAGTGGAACAATATTATTATCAAGATGTGAAATATTGATGGCTAAAGTGAGAAACGACGTACCTCCATTAAGTTGCAGACTTCCAATTAAACTTATTTTATCTTTGGAAAACTACTCATACTCAATATAATTTCTAAAATCTGTTTTTGATTTTTTTTCTGTTTTAGTAGACTATTTTGTGTAAATTTCAAGCAGTAAAGTTGGCTTTTTTTCTCCTTGAAAAAATAAAATGGAGGCGGAAATTTTGAAATACCACATTGGAGATATGAACTTCAGTCATCAAAATGTTTTCTGAGTATTTATGGTTCATTACCATGAATGCATCAGCATGAATAAGATGTGAAAAATATTGATTACCTTTGGGATCGGAAGAACAATGGTTATTTTTGCCTACATGATTAGATGAGTTATCATTTGAGCTATCTATTGTATCCTGGAAACAAAATGCAATCATCTCAAACATACAAGGAAATAGTGACACACAAGATTGATGCAATTAATACCAATCCACACAAAATATTATGCTTGAACATATGTGGGGATATAGAGGTTGCGTTAGAAATCTGGATATGTCACTTCAAGTCAAATGTGCTGCACAATCTAGCAGCTAGGACTTTTTTAAGTCCAATAATGGCTCTATCACATAGCAAAAGTATAAAATTCACCAAAAATCACACAATGCACGCAGTGGGCAGAGTCAATGTTAAAGGCCTGGTATTAAGTGTTGATAACTAAATAAAATTTTGCAGTCAATTTTTACACCAAGATCAACTTTTTCATTCTGAGGAAATTGATTAGGGTTTGAGAAAGAAACATGGAATTCAAGGGGTTTAAAGGGCAGCACTTAAAAAGAAATCGCACAGAAACAAAAATCATTGCCTGTCATTTTCTAAATACTCAAAATAAAACATAAAAAAAGAGGAGATTGATTTTTAAGGAGTGGGAAAATTCAAACAGCAGTCACTGAGTTGCGAGATTGAACACACAGAAAAATGAGAGCCAAACAGTTAAAGTTCCCTGGATTAGTGCAACTGGAGCAGTGAAAAAAACAACCTGAAAACTGAAAAGGTACCATTTTTGGATCGTAGATGCATTTGAAACTCATGTTGTCTCTGAACATAATAATGTGGATCATCATCTTCTTCATTACTATCATCTTCATTTTCATCATAAGGGAAAATGAATGCAAAAATCTACGAAATAACGAATAAAACTGTTCAAATACAGGCAGCCTTTAGTAAAAACTTCACTGAAGCGGAACATTGATCGAGTTCTATTCAGGAATTAATTTCCTTTGTAGATCCCAAGAACTGGAAAATCTGACATTCCTGTTTTTCAAATTATTTGCAACAATTGTATATCAATGGCCAAACTGCAAAACCACATATCTCCTTTTGCGATGTTGCAGACTTCCTGTCATACTTTATTTTTTATTTGAGTATTTTGTGTAAATTTCAAGCTGTGAAGTTGGCTTCTTTTTATTTATCTTCAAAAATATTAAATAGGAATGGAAATTTTGAGACCCCGCGATGGAGGAATGTGGTTCCGTACTTTGGCCATTGATATTCTGAAGTAAATAATACCACATAATGAGCAAAACTCTTAACTTTTTCTTTTTTTTTCTTTTCTACACTTCAAACAGGTACCTTTCTCGGGGTAATCCTGCGTATAGTGCCCCATCTCCCTCACATTTTTTTGAACAACTAGCCCCAGCAGCCTGATTGTTGAAATTTTTTGTTTGTTGGTGGAAATGGATGACATAGGTTAAATGGCGAAGCGTGATTGGTCGGCTATGTCTTATCGTTGCTTTGTCGTTTGGAATGGAAGACGAACTAAAGGCGCCTCCTGAGTATCCAACAGTATGTCGCCCATTCCACCCGACAAAGCAACGATAAGAGATAGCTGACCAATGACGCTTCGCCATTTAACGAAGTCATCCATTTCCATTAGACAAACAAAAAATTCAACGATCAGGCTGCAGGTAACCATTGTTAGAGTTGTCAGACTCGGGTAGCCTAGCCACTAGCCAGGAATGAAACCCAAGACCTTCTGTTAATAGAGCACGTTAAAACCATTACACTACATTAAGCTGATTTGGGTTGTTCTGGGTTGAAAGTGAAATGAATAAACTGAAAAATTGTCCAAGAAAAAGATTGGTACAGAGAGGTTAATAATCAGCGCAGCTTATTTTTTTTCATTTGAGACACGGTGGAGTTCCGCAGTTCTTACTTATAATCAGCTTGGTAGTGTAACTAAACATGTACACAAAGCAAGAAAAAAAATTGCAAACAAATCAATTGGAAAAAAAATCATGTAAATTTGCAATGAGCAAAACATTTTGATGATTGTTTCATTTTCAATAATGTAACAGCCTTGGTCACTTTATATTTGCCTGTGGATTTGACGAAGCTTTGGTTAGGGAAGTAGTGTTTTGATTAAAATATAAAATTGCTTTTTAAAAAAAAAAAAAAAAAAAAAAAAAAAAAAAAAAAAAGGCAGCTACTTACATTGAAATATTTATGCCATAGGACACATCCATAGACGCAGATTATTGAGAATAGGAACATTATCAAAAGCCACAGTACTATATTGACAATTTGCGTTCTACCGAATAGTTCTTTCCCATTTTTAATACAGACTAGAGCTTCTGTTATCATGATTGCGCCATACACCCAACATTGTGTACCTAGCCGTTTACACCGAGGGTCAGTGACAAAAGTATAGTATTGTCTGGAAAAAAAGTAGATTGATTGTGGTTAGTTATTTGTTTGGTTGAGATTACATTGGTCAAAATTATGCTTTACGGATAGGTTGACCATTATACACTTTGTACAACCTTTTGCACAAAATGTAAAAAATTATCAGAAAGTCTAAAAAAATTGCTCCTTCTTTGCCTACACCAAACTCTCCTCAACGAAGAATCTTTTAATGAAAACTGCGCTTTACCAAAGTATCTGTAAATGGCATAAAAAAGAGAAAAATATTGGTTTAACAATATGATGCCATATAGTGAATTTACTCTTGGCTAGCTAAAAAATCTCACATGGATCAACAAAACATTATAGCACTTTTAGTTTTCTTCCACTGCAAGTTCGCCAGCCATATTGATTGAGATGAGTGTGTTACTGTCAATGACTAGGCAGCTCAAACCCTCTTTAACAACTATCCTAATTTTTTTCCACTTTCTGATTAATGTTTTTTTTCATTGCAATGATACAAAAAAACACAAGAAAAAACTCTGGGCTCAATTTACTTTATATTTTTGAATGATGGGGAAAAATAAATGACTTGACTGACTCATAAGTAGAATGGAGAATTTGCACACAAAAATTTTATTGCTTCATCTGAGAGTGCCTATTGAGCTGAGTTCGCAGTATTTTTCATAATTTTTATCTGACATGGGAAATTGGAGAAAAATAGATTTAAAAGTGAGAAAATGTGTTGCCATATGACGTCATCTGGCGGCATTTTCCATTTAAACACATATATTTTAGCAGATTAGGTTATTTTATCATATATTCTCCAATAATTGTTCAATTTTGAAACCAAGTTCATCCTCATACTCAGTTTTCCTAGCAGTATCATTTTAAACATGAAATTCACAAAATTTAAGACACCTGCAAATTCTCTATGGGCAAAACTTACCTCGCTGACGGAGCAACCATAAAGCACAAAAATATGAGTCTGGTTCCAACTATTGGGTGAGATGGAGGCATTTCAAAGATGTGTTTCAGGAAGAAGGTATTCAACTCTGATAATTGCCAGAAGACCACCATCTGACATAATGCGAAGAACCTCATGTATGTACAATTTGGATCCAGCCATCGCACGTGCGTCCAACTTCCTGGCGTAAACTGAAGCATGACCCGCTTCAATTTCCCGCTTGTTGAGCGGATATCTTTGACGCTAACCCATTTGTACTCCCGCATTTCGAGGCACTTGCAGATTTTCAGCCCGAGCCAAATGCCGAGCCCATTGCAAAGTAAGATGTCAAGAACTATGGCATCCCACCAGCATTCAACAAAATTTGGCAATAAATGAGCAAATGCAATCTGAAAAAAAAGGGGAGAAAATCATTAGAATTAACTTTTCAGAAAAGAGGTTTATGCAGTTAAGTTCTCTTAAAGTAATAATTTTCTTTTCTTAAAGACATTTCTGAGTGGAGGAAGGGACAAAAGCTTGTTGCCCTTTCTAGTCCTCAAAAATTTTAGTGTTATAATGGAGTTGCTTAGGCATCCCATTAAAACATGAGCATTGGTGAGTTGAGGCCCAAAGTTCAAATATCAAGTTCTAAAATCACCGAATTAACAAAAAATATTAAAACAAATTTTGGCATCAAAACTGTGCTGATGAAATGGGCCTGGACTGAAGAAAATGATTTAAGAGGGAAGTTTAAAAACTGCGAAATTACACTTCACCTTGTCAGAGGGGTGCAGAGGAAGTAGGATTATGGATCTCAATAGGAACGGCAGGGATAATTAGAAAACACGTCATAGTTGTCATTTTCATCGAGGTACAATGGTAAACAGATGTGATAGCTTACCCTTGATCACCATACGATCTTGTGATGATAGAGGTTAAGCTACCACATCTATTTGTAATTAGGAAAGCCACGAAGTGTTTTTTTTTTCAACTTTTTGGTTTTTCCTTGAAATTTTACAGGGAGGAAACTATACTACTTAAATCCCTGTAAAAATTCCTTACCACTGCTCCATTACTTATTACGTAAGTCAAATTAGATCAAATTTGTGAACTTACAATTTCACTCAATTTACTCAGAAAAAGAGAAGGATGCAAAACTCACCTCGGTGACTTCCCACATAATGCTCATTGCCCACAGAATACCAAGGTGACGGACAAGCATTGCTTTTAGAGCCCACCCGAAGAAGTGACCAATGGCAAAAACGTCCATATGACTCCAAATTTTCTCTGTGGAGAGATCTGAGCAATTGACTCCGTACTCCTGATTGATAGGGAAGGAACGATTAGAATAAAACATTATATTCACACCTTACCATGAGCTGATGATGTTGAATAAGATCTTGTTTATCCTTAAGGTGAATCATCAAGCTCGAGTGACTAAGTCGAACTGGCATGCAATATATCACATCTATTAGGTCAAAAATCTCGGCAGATTTTGAAATTTTAGCAAAAAAAAGGACAATTGCCCCTGCATATAAGCCTAAAGAATCATTCTAAACCCAAATATTGGCAAAATTCAGAGAAATGAAAGCAGAATAGTGTTAGGAAAAAACAACGCATTCGATACAGAAATCGATAGCTGAATCGAATGCCAGGATTTTTTCCTAGCACTATTCTGCTTTCATTTCTCTAAATTTTGCCAATTTTTGGGTTTAGAATGATTCTTTAGGCTATGCGCAGGGGCTGTTGTCCTTTTGTTTTGCTAAAAATTCAAAATCCGCCGAGATTTTTAGATGATTTTTTTTTAGATGCAATATATCGCCTTCCAGTTCCACAATGTCATTTGAGCTTGACAAATCACCTTAAGTCAGAGTACAAATAGTAGTCTTCCTTAGTTGTGGTTTGTTAATGCGAGAAGGTTAGCTGTACCACATGAATCAAATTTTTATTACCTCCATCAAAATTTTAGTAAGAGTGGGATGCACCACTGTGCTTTTTATTCAATGTTCTGTCCCTTATACTTTGGTAAAGTCTTGGCAATTTTACAGCTATAAAACATTTTAAAATCTTTATTTTTTTCACTTTTCAATGCGATTGCGCTTAAAACAAATGGCACTTAATTTTCATAGGTGAATTTCCTGGTTGATAAAAGAAAACTTTGTTGGGAAAATTGATATTTACTCATCATTTTGAGCAGACCTTTTCACTGGTTTATATTTTGTGAAAATACTGAACACTAGAGCTTACTCCCCCCCCCNCCCCTGATATTTGAGTTTAAAGTTAATTCTAACCATGAATTGTCCTGTAATTTTCTCACTTAAAACACACCTTATCTAAAATCCAAAACTTGTCATCCAACTCCGTTATTGAAGATATTTTTTAAAAATTAAGAAAGTTCCATAATCCAAAAAAGCTAGGAGGATGATTCAGATTCCTCAAGACAGATTCCTTCATGAGAAATGAGAGGTTGTCCACAATCGAAATATCATTGAAATACGTACTTAAGTAAGTTGCTGGTTTTCCATTTTCTCTAGAAACGAGACAATGCGACAAATTATAAAAACCAGGGTGTCTACTAAAACAGGCTGGCCAAAAATCAGTACTTTTACAGTACTTTTTCAGTACATTCCCAAGAAATTCAGTAACCCCTCAACAGAAAAATTCAGTCCTTTTCCAGTACCTTCATTAGACAAAATTCGAAAAATTTAAAATTCTCGCTCAAATTGCGACAAAAATGACCGCAATAAATGAAAAAGAATTCTGGGTCTTCTTGTGGAATTCCGCTTTTTTTCAGTGCTTCCAGACCACCCTTAAAAAATCAGTACTATTTTCAGACTTTCCAGAAATTCCGGACTTGTAGACACCCTGCAAATACACACCTTGTCCATGTCTATGTGGAAGTCCTTGAGTTTGGGATCAAGCCATAGAAATATTCCTTTTGCAGTTTTGTAATTTTGGAAGAGTAAGAAGAGCAAACTCAGAAGATACATGACACTGAGACCGAAGACCATTCTCCATATTGCAGGATGCGGCCTTGTGAAAGGGCCATTAGGAAATGCAAGAACTGAAATTATCAAAAAGAAAAACAGGACACACCAGAGACCCGTCCAAATGTTGTCATCAACATTGATATCATCTCTGGAAAAGAAAATTAAAAACATTAATTTGAGAGTCAAACTTTAACAATAGAGGTCAGTATCAGCAGTCTCTTTAAATTTTTAGTGAATTTTCTTTCGTAAACATAACAATGAAACAAAGAGGACAGGTAAGACTTTCATCTCAATGAGAGGTCATGGAGGAAAAAAAAAGATGTTTCAGTCTTGTCTCCCTCTAATAAGAGATGTTCCCTTCTGATAGAAAACCGGACTTGATTTTTGTTTCTCTGTGTATTTGAAGATTGTATATATATATTTGATCTCATTCATATCGGACCGCTTTGAGCTCATGCATAGCAAAAACTGATTTAGGAATTATTATCCATAATAGTACTCCTCTTTCAATACAACTTCAATTATGGGGCTTGGTGGACAAAGCCCTTAAGTGCAGTTTTTGCTATTTAGAGGAATATGTGTTTGAAGTTTCAAAGGTAAGTAAGTACATGCATCCTTACGACGGATAGAAAGTTCAAACTGACTTTTTCGTGCTTAAAAATTGGAATTTGGAAGCAAATTTTTACAGAAAATGCATTAAGGTTAGTTATACTTGAAATCATCACTTGCTACCTCAATTTTCTCAAAAACTGCACTCGTGCGCCTTGTCCTCCAACCCCCTCAATTATCCTTTTTATTTGGGGTTTTAACAAAATGTAGTTATTCAGCTCTCTGGTTATTACTTCTGACAAGCGATTAAGAACTGCCATGGGAATAATTAAACACTCGCTGAAAGGAGGAGGAGAATGTCTAGATTTGATATGAATTGGAGTTCCATCCTCATCTTTTCATGTAGGTATAACCAGAGGCCGACTGGCTAGGCCGATTGCAGGGTGATAACTCCCTTAATTTAGAAAGAGAGGAAAACGGATGGGCCCTTTAGTGTAGATTTTCAGGGCTTTATTTGAAAAAATCTTGCAGTTTTACAAGAGTGTTGAACCTTCTCCCCCTCTTCTATCGAGAAGGGTTTCCAAACCTCTTTTCAGAGGAGCTCGTGGAAAATTTGGAGCTAGTCCAAACCTTCCTAAACTGAAATAGACTTCAGGGGATTATCAAATTGATTCACCTACTGTGTGCATGGCACCACGGAAATATAATTTGGTAGATAATAATTTCTTTGTTTGAGAAAGCATCAAGTAAATTGAGGATTAACTGTCCGGCACAGAGGACATTTCACTGCCTTCTAAGAACATTAGAGGATGACTCTGCGATTCAGACCAACCGTGGTCAACGTAATAGAATAAATTAATCACTCACCTAACAAAGGATGTGTAAATTACTGCAGTGATGGATACAGCAAGCAGGGTGATAGTATGAGGCTTGTAGAAAATATCCAGGCAGATATCATCAACAGGTCTTTCGTTAATGACATTGAAGCTGTCCAGGCATTCTTTGCGACGAACCATTATTCAATTGAAAAAGAAAATTCATACCAGTTCAGACAACAACCAATGCACAAGTTTTGTCTTGGTGCTTGCCAAGGTTACGAGAGATAGAGTATTTTACATACTCAGAATCAAGAGGAAGAAAAATTTAGCAGACCCATGTGCCGAAACTTCCTAAGTCCGGTTCCAAAGCCCGAGACGAAACTGAAGCTCCGGTGATAACGCGAGCAAATTTTCACGTTGATAACGCGAAGATAGCGATGAACTTTAGCGAACGCACCGTGAGACTGTAATCAAATCGCACGAGCACAAGGTTGAATGGATTACATTTATCATTCAAATTTTTTGGAGGTTATAAAAAAAACGAGTCGTCAAAGATTTTCGAGCGCCACATGAGTCATGATGTCATAAAGATGTTCCAGAGCCAGAGATCGCGGAGAGATGATTTACTGATAAGGACAGCTGCTGCTCCCTATTGGTGGTGTTTGGAAGCGAGGAAAAGCCCGCGGTTTTTAAATTGACGGACTGCTTGAAATAATAGTTGTTCACTACTCGAGCAAAAAGCATCACCCCCGGCGCGTCGTATTAATTTGCTTCAATAAAAGGAACATGTCACCAGGGCTGGATTTAACTACTTGCCGCCCATGGGCCGATAGTATTTTGCCACCCCCTTCTCATTTGTTTTGAAACATCAATGAAAACCATCAAATGAACGTGCCAGCGGGGGAGGGGTGCATAAGACGCGTTTATTGGTGTTAAACACATTTTTTGGGACAGCCCTGTCAACACTACTAGCAAAAGTTCACGGAACTTTTCGCGAAAGTTAAGTTTCGTAAACCTATCTCTGTGTGTACAAGGCCCTCCATTCATAGGAAATGAGCGAAAAAATTATGAAAGAACAAACATAAATGTGGATTAATGATTTTAACTTCCGCCGCCGCGCCTCGCAGACCGCACTGTGTTTGACGCAAAGCGTCAGCAGGCCCGGACTTAGCATAGAGAAAAAAAAGGAGGTGTTTGCATTTCGGGCATCTTGGAAGTTTTTGATGACTTGATGACGTAGGTGGGTACAGCTGGGTACAGCGACGTCCCCTTCACGCTGTACCCACCTACGTCATCAAGTCATCAAAAAATTCCAAGATGCCCGAAATGCAAACACCTCCTTTTTTTTCTCTATGCGGACCTAGGGCGAGTGCAGGGCGTGCGGCGCACACGGGCGTCAGCCTTTGGGGGGCGCCACGAAAGAAGAAGAGAGGGAAAAAAAGGGTGGAAAAGGAAAAGGAAAAAAAGGGAAGAAAGGACAAGGGGAAACAAGCAGTGAACTCCAACACAATGTGTTGATAAGGCGCGTCATTAACTCGCACATATCAACCCCTTTAGTTTTCATTTACAGAGATTTCAAAATAGGCAAACAGCATAAAAAGAGAATTCACGATCCAACACTGCGAGGTCAAAGACGCACCTTGACGAGACCGTGTATTGTGAAAGTAGAAAGCTATTCGATCGAATTTAAGTTTTTTGATCTGCCTCAAGCAAAATCTTATCAGATTCTTGAAGAAAAGTGCTACGGAATAATTTAAGCGAAGAAAGGAAAAATTCTGTCGAACTCCTAGAAGATAAAGTCGATTTAAAGGTATTTTGGGGCTAAAATACCCAAATCACCGGTAGTAAAAATCCCGTTATATTATTGAAAAGAAATTGACTCGATATAAATGCAATTGCATTAAATACGTCTTGATTTTGTTATTTTAAACGTCTTTCCATGCAAAGAAGTTCAACCATGTCGTTGCTTTATTCATTCATGAATTGAAAGTAAGCAATCTACATCCCGAAAATCTACTGATTTGCCGTAAAAAATTGCAGAAACTTGATATACCAGGTCGATGCACCCACTCGTTGAATTTACCAACCAATTTTGTGAGTGCA